GAGTGGAAGATCGTTCCAGGTCGACCCCATTTGGTAGGATGGAGTAGCTCGAGGAAACCGGAAAGGAACAAACGGTTGCCTGATCAGGAGTATCCGTGAGGGCCGGCCGCTTGTCGATAGAGAGAGTGGAAGTTTGAGAGGGGAGATATCAGTTCTGCGCAAGCATAGAAATGAGAGGCAAGATACTCGGTAGGCATATATTCTACACACATCAAGTAATTCTAGCCTGGCGAAAAGATGCGAAACATGTGAAGCGGGAGGGAGACCTAGAACAGCCCGGAGCCCATTTTTTTGAGCGGAGAGGATGGGGCGGAGAGCGGACGCTGATGCTGTGCCCCAAACAGGGATGCAGTATGAGATACTGCTGATGAAAAACGAGCGGAAAACCTGAACGAGAACAGATCGGGAGAATCCCAATCGTCTTAGGCGGTGAAGGCAGAAAGTGAGGGATACAAGTTTATCGTCGTTGGACAGTCATGGTCGCTGCGAACATGGATGGGTCAGAGAAGCCCCCCCCCCCCCTCCTGCTGGTGATCGGCAAGACCGGGAAACCTCGCTGTTTCAAGCACGTAAAGACTCTACCGACCGAATATACTTTCAACCGGAAGGCCTGGATGACGTCGCACAGTGAGGCAAAACCCGATTTTAGGCGGCAGAAATTGAAAATGAAAAATTTTGAAAATTTATGTCGTGGCGTTTTGGAGGAAGTATGGGGACCTCGGAAACACACACCAATCAGAAACCAAGCACTTGTATCTCTGTGGAGAGACTCTGGAAAGAGGCAGTTTTTTTTGCTCCGGACCGTCACTTTTTTCTTCCGATTCGTGCTGACGCTCGAGTTTCCGTGGAATCGATTAAGGAAGGAGCAAACACCGAATCGTGAGTAAGATTGAGTCTAAAACTTCACGTTTAGCGTTTCATTCGACGAGGATATGCAAATCAGAAGTTTTTCTGAGTGCATCCTTTTTTACGAAAAAAAAACTGATTTTCATGAAATTTCGCCGTTAGAAAAGTATGTGGACCAGGGCAGACCCGGGCGGCGCATGGGGTGGAAAATCTCCTTTCAACCTCCCGCCTTCCGTTTTCGAAAAAAAAACAGCAAGTTTTGGCAAACGTGAATGCCTGCTGTTCTCAGATATTCGAATTAGGCTGCCCGGAGGACATTTGCGGAGACAATCTTCAACTCCCGGAAGAACGAGTGCATCGATGGGTTGGATAAACTCATTTTGAGTCATGCTCATGCTGAAATTGAGCAACTACGCAACAGATCTCACATCAGAAAGCTGATCAGCAGGCATGTGTCCCGAGTTAGGGAAAAACTCGGGAGACATAATTTGAAAGCGGAACGGTTCTTCGATAAAGAAGCTGAATCGCTCGAAGCCAGAAACTTCGATTTCATCGTGCACTACACTGAGCTATCCGCAAGAAGACGTGCCCGAGGAGCCGGGACCATCGAAAGCGTCTCAAAGGACACCTCGAGCGGGACGACCGGAGAAAAATTTCTCGGACTCGGCGGAGAGGACAAAACGGAACGAAGTCAAAGATATTCTGCCTGCCGGACCTGCTGAGTTATTGTACGCGGCTTTCCGAGGAGCTCAGAGCCAGAAATTTCCTCTGATGACTGATACGAGTTCGTACCACGAGAATAATCCAAAAAACTCACTGAAATAATTTCTGCCGCCTTAAATCGGGTTTGGCCACACTGTGCGTCGCCGATTTTCATCGACTGTTTGAGTAAGCTTGACCCTCGGTTCAAGCGACAGCACCGGAAGATCTTAATGATAGTCGACAATTGCCTTCAGACATGCTGCTTGGTACTCTTTCTGGTTACACGGGCGCGAACTTATATAGGGGGTACGAAGGAAGAGATTTCATCTGAGCATTTTCAATGGAAGTATCGATAAAATAGGCAGATGTCGGTAACGTTACGACGTGAGGATAAAGATTCAAGAGAAGAGGATACGGCTGAATCACCGATGAGACGGATAGCACGTTTTTGAGTAGAGTCTTGGACAGAGAGGGATGAAGGAGCGGCTCCGCTCAAGAGGGACGGATTTGGGTGTTATAGAGCAAGAGAAGGTGAGAGGGAGAAAAATAACGTTTGGCTCTGAAGAGGAATCCTAGTTTTTGGGAAGCTGACTTGGCCATGTTTGCTATGTGATTGTACCATTTAAGATTTGATGAAAGGCACACGCTTAAAATAGAGTTATTCGGTGAGGGAAGTAGCGTTTCGTTGTCGAAAGAGATGGTTGGACTAAAGGGCTTGGTTTCCTTCGTGAAAAGGGTAAGCTGCGTTTTCAGGGAATTGAACTGGACCAAATTAGTTGAGCCCCATTCCAGAATCTTCCTGAGATCGCAATCGATGGAGGGGAGCAAGGTGCTCCGAGAGGAATTCGTCGGGGTGAACGTCGGCTGCTTCCCAAAAATTGAGCGGCGATCAAGCGATATGCAAGAAGTTTTCGGTTCGCGTAAAAATCAATGACCGTCGTGGAAGCACGCGACTGGATGTCCACCGAAAGAAAGCGAGACACCAGGCTGCGGAGAGATCAAGGAGCAAGCAGACAGGAATCGTTTCTCTCATGAGATCAGAGAGCCTCAATCCCTTTAATTGCGAACTGCATCGGAAAACATCCGGCGGAGCAAGCTGCGATCGGCCCGCTTCGGACAGTTCTTCATGAAATACGCGCGAGAGCATGTCGAATGCGCCTCTGAACCGGATGAATACATTGAACATGGTTACGGCATCATCGGAAGGAAGATCGAAGAACATGTAGAATCCTCGACGTACGCAATCTATATCGCCGAGACTCAAGACGTACAGCGCAGGAAAATCGTCAATACCATCGTCATCCCATTGTCGGGAGAACCTTAACGCCCGGTACTATGCGACACTGACTTCGTTTATTCAGCGAACGCAGTCACCCTGGCGGGAATCGTGAACAGAGTGGCGATGACCATCTCCAACAACCCTACTCACTTCAAACTGCTCGTGACGGACCAGTGTCGCACTAACGTCGCAGTTGGTAACACGCTCAAGCTGTTGTATGAAGATTTCCTCCATGTAACATGTCTGGCTCACGGGATCCAGCTCTTATGTGAATCGAAAGGAATTAATTCGTTTCCAGTACGAAGAATGTAATGTCGACGAAGAATGTGCAGCTGGCGGTTAATCTAGTGATGTGAAGACCCTCAAGCTCCGCATTGTCGATCCCGAGTTAGGAGAACAGTTCGGAGCTATCTAAATCTTCTCAGAGCTCCCGAAGCACATTGAGAAGCTCGAATCGCGCTCTATATCCCTTGACCAGCAACTGGCGGTGCTTGACTCCATCGAGGAGCAACTGAGTGGACATCTGCATCAGCGTTTCAAATGTGTCTTGCTGAACTATCCCGATTTGCATCAAGTGAGAGCGCTGTCACCCCGAGACTCAAAAATTTTCGGAAGTAACATAGAAAGGTCATTCTCGTTGCTGAAGAACATCCTTAGTGACCGGCGGCATCGCTTATATGAGCTGAAGAAATACCTCTCCAATACAATTCAACTCAGAGCCCTTGTTTGAAAGGTTACTGGCTTTGATCCTTTTGGCGAGGAATTGACACAGAATAGTTCGTGTTCGTGAGTTAATATGAGTTGGCAACCGAAGTCGTATTCTATAAAGTCAGAATGGTTCTGAATCTCTCGCTTCATCCTCCAATTATGGGCTTAAAACGAGGAAAAGGGAATGTCCTTTCCGGATGTCCGCTCTTAATCATGATGTCCTCGCGGACAATGTCCTTTTTCCGACGATAAAATGTCAGATCATATCGCATCTCATTTGAGGCACTATGCCCCAAATGCCTGTATCTGCCTTTCTCGGCTTCTTTTTGATCCGAAATGCCTGTTCCAATTTTTTCGTGCCCAGAGTGCCTTTTTGAGCTTCTGAGGGGCTGAATTCCGAGGATTTCGGGGGAAACTGAGGCTTTAATATTGAGAACGGCGATGAGATGAGGTCGGCGAACCCAGTTTCCAGGAGCACATCTTGCTTTCGACGAGTTACGACGGTCCGCCTGAACGCGGAAAGAAAATTCGTCGGTGTGAAATGCTCGTATCAGATCGGCGTCGATTACTCACCGATGGGAATCCATTTAACCCCATGAATTTCTTACAACACGACACTGATGGACGCTTCAATGCGTTTGTTCCCCTGCCTAGTACGCCTATTTAGCCTGGTTTCGGCGCCGTTTTCGAGAGTTTTCTGTGCCTAAAATTCCGAGCTCTAATAATGAGAGATGAGTCTCACCTGAGCTGGGACACCCTCCCTACAGCTCCTGAGACTCCCGTCTCGCGCTGACAACCAGCGGTGCTTACACAAATACATTCTGCAGCGGACAGTTTCCGAAGAGAGCGCATCGATGAAGAGAAGTTCCTTTTGTCCCTCTCCAAACACGAGCGCACCACCCTCTCTATAGACGACTCTGACTTAAATCGAGGGCGCGAAAGAATATCCGTCGGGACTCGGGACCGACGGGTGGTTGAGTGCTCGACGCGTTTGCAACTTCTCGTGCGAACGTGCACAGCCGCAACGACGCCGCTCCTTCGAGAGGTGGCGTGAGTTCGATTGCTGCTGCCGGCACAATACGGAGGCACTCGATCTTGATCCCCCTGGGTACACTTGCTCTCTGAATCCTCCCTCGGACGCAATGTGAAAACCAGATCCACGAGTGCTGGACCTTGTCTGGGTGATTCCGCCCGGAAAGATCTTTTCGACCGTCTGTCGGACGATGGAATCTCCCGCAGAACCCAGGGGTTCGCCGGGACTCCGCTCGGAAAGGTCTGCCCTAGCATTACGACCGGGAGATTTCGAGGAGGGGGACGCATGGCCCCCTTGGCGTGGCCGCCACTGGGCGCGCCACGGGCTCTGTTTAGAGCTGCGGCTTCTCGGACTATCGCGAATATGTCGTATATCCCATGCACCTTATAGATGGACGAATAGATGGATTCCCTCGAAGAGGCAGTCATCGTGAAACGCGAATTTATTCCGGTGAATTGCTCAAATCTTGTGTGATCAGAGCGTCAACAAGACTGCATCCGACCTCGCTATAACCACAGGACGAGAAAGTGATTCAGCGTCGAAAAAGAACTTCCGAAGAAACTCGGAATCTTCATCGGGTATCTTGTAGGGGCACATATACTGAACTATGGATATTCCGAGGAGTCAACGCATCTTCTCGCTTCTCACGCGTTTCAGATTGACACTAGGAGCTGTCGGGGAGCGAACAATACGCCTCTGAGCGGACTTCGAGCGGCTGAAATGAGCGCTCCCTTCGAGTAAACAATTGAGACGAAGACGGAGCTGATAGATATGATAATGTTCGTAATAACAGCGCTAAACTCTCCGTATCGCTGATGCAGCTCTCTTTTCACATCTTTCTCTCGACAGAATTCCTCTCCTGCTTTGAAGATGATCCGTGACGCGAGATTCCTTCTTCAGATAGGAGCGGACATACGCCGCGACCTCCGATTACCTCTAGCGGTGTGTCGTCCGGTTAGACCCTCCGGCCCACCCCTCCTGCCATGGGTCACGGATACTAGCACAGCATTTGTCTTTTTTTCCCCGGATCCCCTCCACTCATTCCCGCTGTTTTTGAATGCTTCACGAGGGTAAGATCGCCACAAGCGAGCAGCCAGGAATGAGCGCATTGGATTTCGCTACTGAATACAATCATGGGTAGACAGTGAATTAAATAGGACTTCGAAAGCATTAGCGAAACAAGCGGAGGCTGCAGCCACAATCGTCGAGGGAAAAAAGACAGCCCACGTTTGAGTATTTGTATATCGAGCCGAAGCGTTTTTTTGCCTTGATAATTCGAGAATATAGTGAGCTGGATCGGTGTTCAACGGGAGCTGTCTCCCCGAGCCACGAAGACTCGCCTGGCTCTAGGTCATTCCCACAACAGATCTCATTATTGATAGGAGACATTGCAACTGCACCGCGACGTCGATCGCAAGAGTAGGCTGTGTACACATACTGTCAAGATTAGTACCTATAACTATGAGGACCCCGAGAGAACTCCTCGAAAGACATGTCGGTTCGGGAGATGATTCGCGCGGTTTGAACACAGCCCCTCGCTGCCCTTCCCCAGTTTCGCATCGATCGACTGACGCATAGCCAAACCGACGACACGATGCCTTGGTACGCGCTCCCAGCGTCGGATGATGTCACATCGTAAGCTGTAATGGGGCGTGCAGAGAGGAGTGAGCTCGTCTAGTTCATTGAGAGAGGAAGTTGACCACGCACGCTCTTGCGCAAATCGGTGGGATATTCTGCTTCATGAAGACGCGCTTCTTATGCAGCGGCCTCAGCAGTAAACTGGTCAGGTCCGGGTTGCAGGATCCGAGTTGTGCACAAATGAATTTCATATCTAGCAAGAATGATTCATCGCACTGTTCCGCAGAAATTCCAAGCTTGGCCCCCTGGAAGAAGCTCGACGTGAATAGCGTTCGACCATTTCCCTTGGGTAAATTGACCCTCTGTCCAGAAATCGCTCGACTTACGCATGAGTAACAGACTTCATGCCAGTTGCATGACGCCACGAACTTTTCCCGGATGGGATCCGGCGGGAACATTCCGCGCAGAGCCGAGCATCCATTCATGAGCAGTCGCAACTCAGGACACTGCGAGGGCTCTCCGTCTCGATCAGGGTCTATGTCTCCAACGCCGTTCTTCAGCGCAGCTCTTATTTCGGCCTCATTCACGGCTCTGAGCTTCTGGGTGTCCGCCACGAGACTTTGGAGGATCTTCTTCAGAGTTTCAATGTCCTGAGCCACGTTCACTTCTCTCGGGAATTGTGGCCGTTCGTTCGCACCATGTCGGTCAGGAACGCTCTGCCGAGATATTGATAGATTAAATAGCAGCACTACGACGAGTAGAAGTCGACGTGTCGGAAGGAAGAGGCCAAGTCAATTCTGGAACCCTACACAATCAATCGCGCTCAGCTCCTCGGGTTCTCACCTTGACCATAGCGTGGAGTGCGTCCTGAAGGAGGCCTTCTTCTATGATTCGGAGCTTCTCGTATGCGAGCTCCTCATCCCGATTCGGAGGTGCCACCATGACGGGCGCTGGTTCAAGGATGCTGCGTTTTTTGCGCATGGTTGCGAAGCTCATAGCCATGTTCCGGTAGTATTCATCCGTCAGCCATTGTTTGAACTGGTCAGGGGACATTTTCTTGTTCCCGCTGGTTGCATTCGCGTGATCGGAAACTCTGTCATTGACTTCGCTTCGCTTCTGGAACGTGAATTCAGCGGCTCAGCGGACCCTTTCCCAATCGGGGGAAGCTAGATGACCCTTGAAATCCGACCTGGTTCTGAGTCCTAAAAGATCTCACCTTTTTCCTCAGGAGATTATTGACTCCTCTCGCCTGACTTTCGAAGCTGTTGTCGATGGATCGTTTCTTGATCATCTCTTCTTGCGGTGCCTGAAAATTTTCCTGTGAGAGACCTTGATCAGTAAGTGACTTGCACCTTGGAATCTGAGCGTTCGCCACGCGCTGGAGCATCTGGAAGCTTCCCCGCATGCGGAATCATCGCAGAGCATAGCATCATCTCCTAAGCTTTGTTTCTCTCCTGTAGAAAGGTCTGCTGCTCTCAAAAAGATTAGGTCTCTTGTGAAACGTCGAGAAACCACGACAATTTTCCTCAAAAACATACCCTTGTAGAGTAAGGAAATTGCTTATGGCTCCGGTATGCGGCCCGGTGATTCTCTGACGGCGCTGGTCGGATCATCTCGGGCAATGGAGACGCCCACCTGAGCGTATCTTCCTGCGGTACTTGGCTGTACGCTGGAAAGTCGTCTACAATGGAATACGGTTTTTACGAGCTCAAATGGACGACAAGACGTACGACTGCGAATCGAGCCGCCCCTTCTCCCTCCCACATAACTCGCCGTACGCCTCGATTAGTTCACCTTGGTCGTAGGGTGGTCTGATGTCAGTCAAGCGGCGCAATACAATCTCGCGCTGACGGAGGTTCTCGAGCGAATTAGGGTCGCCTCTGCTCTTCTGGGAGATGATATTCGCTAATAACTCTTGCACGCGCCTGGAAGTTAATTCCGCGAGTGAAGCACAATGATAAGTCTGCTCGAGGAAGATTCTCCTCCATATTCGGAAGCTCCTGGACGGATCATTCTCAAATGAGGAGTATTTCTATCATGCGTCCCCCCCCGTGTGTTCTTAGTGGTCATACCGGTAGTACTGCTGCGCGTCCGAGGAGCGGAGTGAATCGCTCATGTAATCATTGTACATATGTAGTTGATCGGAGGGCTTGGTTTCTACCCTCCTCTTCTCCATGGTTGGCAAGGTGAAATCACGATGTCTATTGGAATTCCTCTGAACGGTCTCCAGATCCAGAGCAAAAGCTGCCGAAGCTAAGGCAGCTACCAGGATTGGGACTGTCTTCATATCGGAGACGCTTTAAGGAATTCGCAGAATCTTATCGAGGAGATCACTCCGAGATTGAGGGAATTCGCTCGAAAAGGTCGAACGCTCGCAGACCGACGATATCAGCCTCTCCCAGAGGGAGGTCCACGCAGGGGTGTGGACTGGAACACGCTCGGTTTTCTGCCGACACTCGAGGGATGAGTCTCATATCGCCAGTGCATTCCTACTCACTTTTGTTACCAAGCGAGGATGTCTTCTTCGAAGTAACGTTGGTCTGCGGTCGCTGCGCACTTGAATTAGTCGGGCGCATGCGCACGCTATCCTCCAATGGCGTTCTCTATTTGATGGAATAACCACCAGATTGCGCTCCCGGCGCTGAGGTCCCCCGTCGCATACTACCCAGATCTATTTCCTAAGTATCGGCACAGGTGCAGTTGCGCGAGCGAATCAAAAATCATCGAAGGCGTTCGGAGGGACAGTAGATAACCTCCATCTTTTTCTCCGAACAAGGATTGATAGAGATCTGCTGTGGAGAGCCCTGCATTCAGCTATCGACTCTTCCACCCCGCGGTCGCGCAATGTGAACTGCAGCGGCTGCAGCCTAATGGGAGCTGCTCACAGTTCTGTATTCCCCCAAAGTGGACGGCAAGCTACACACATTGAAGAATCGTTCCTCATTTGGAGTTCACCTTTCAGGGGCATTGGGAGATTCAGGGGCCTGCTTCCATGGGGGGATTGTCATCCTCGAGCCCGCGGATCGAGGATATGACACTTAGTGAATAATACACACATTACTAGAGAGATATTGATCGATGGAACCCGTAATCATACTTCATCGTCCACCACCTGATAACATTGGCGGTTCTTCCGCTATTGCTCGACTGATTTCGAAAGAAGTGTGTTCCTTCCTAATCTCTTTGAAAAATTTTTCTACATCCTTCGGCTGCTACCTAGCGAAGGGCCTCCCTGTTGACTCATCAGAGTGAACACCATTTTTGGCGGGAGATGAGAGTGACATTTATTGATAACATTGGTCAGTTTCCCGGAAGAAAGATTTGAGAGAACCAGGCCATCGAGAGTTTCTAGTTCTTCTTTTCCATCGAGTTTCGGCTTTTCGAGCATGCATGACTCATGTTGCTTACTTATTCAAATCATGGTCAGGTGGTACAGAGGTCGGTGCTACGCTGAGGAGCTTCGGAAGCAGGAAGCGAGCAACATCTCATGCCCCGACGGAGCCTCGTGCATCTTCCACTCGCGCTGCTTCCGGCCCGCCGTGGGTTCAATATGCGGCCCTGTCGAGCCTGAGTAACTCCGCAAATATTAAGTTGAAAAGCAGCTGTACCCCGTTTGATGATTGAGGTTGGGGCGCTCGATTGTTGGTCGAGGAGCTGAACTTGCATGAGATTCTCGGTATAATTCCCTGAAGGACGCTCGAGTCCTAGAACACCCTGCAGTGCAAAATCATAAGCCCGATTCAGCAAGTACTGCAGCAGAGAGGATGTAGGTGTTCTTCTTCGCGAAACCGCGTTTGATGATGGCATCATGAGCAAGTTCTTCTCCCGCTACGCTCTGTCTCTATGAGACGTGTCTATTTAGTCTAGACGAAGACCGTTCGGCGCCGCAAACTTCAGGCGCGAGCCTATGGACGTGCGAGAGTGTCCAGGTGTCTCCATGAAACTCGTACAAGCTACTCCAGTCGAATTCGCATTCTTCCTGGATGCTACCGACAGATCCTTGCAGTATTTGGCCATAGAAATATCGGGTCATTGCGAGTTTTTGCGACCTCTTTCTTGCACTCAGGATATGTCAACTTACAGAAGTCATGGGGAAACTTCGAAACCTACGTTTTGCGCGGAAAAAACACTGCTTTTCGGTGAGAGCCTCAGATCGCAGCCACAAACGAGGGGGAAAGCGAGAGAGAGCCAGACGAGACAACATACCCAGGCTTCTAAGACTTCGCGCCGATACAGATACCCTTTGCGGGAGATAGTCAGCCTACCGCTAACTTCGATGAGAGAATAGCAGGAAAATTGATTCGAAGAGTAGATGTACCTAATCAGAATCTTAATCAATGATATAATCTCCATTCTTCGTTATCGCTTCCGGCCATCGATCGAGCAGTCTGCTCTCGAAGGAAGCCTCCGTCTTGCTAGCAGGAGAGGAGTTCAGGTGCCGACGGACTCCAGGGACACTCTCGGAGGTTTCTCCTCTCGATGAGTTCGGTAGTAGTCCGAGGGAGTGAGATCGGTAGAGTGAGGAGGATGCTTGATCAGCTCCCATCTCCCATCTCCCATCCTAAGTCGAGCAACTTCTCCTCGGTCACACGCGCTGTATGTAACCTGGCATCGCCGTGGTACGGAATCGCGCCTCGGCGGTTTGGACGTTTGTCCTTCAAAGCGGCCTTTAGGCTCTCGAGTTCGCGGCAGGGTGTCAGTATGTCACCGCCGTGATCGTTTCAACACGCGGCGGTAACTCGTGGAGAACGACTGCTTTCACATTCCACCATGTGGACAAGAGAATCTATTGGGGGTACTTCCTGAGGATTAGATCGCATGAACTATTCTGCTTCGTTCTTTTACCAACTGTGTCATTTGGGAATTCTATGGGACTTATTTTAAATAGACGAGAAACTTTGTCGTACACGAATGATAGACTCAACAGAATCTTCATTGGATGCAATGAAACTTTGGCGACGGCTAGAGGTGGAGGTTTCGGGGCTCTCCAGGATCGGCATCTAAAGACGTTGTCGTTCAAGCTCTTTTTCTCATTCCCGGTCACCACACGCTTGAGGAAAAATTCTTCCTCGAAGCGTGCGAAGGATTTTCCCCGGCGTTCAATCGATTGATTTTGTTCATTTCCGTCAGTTTATGGGGGACCCACGCGTCGAGTTCGAACGTGACTTCCTTTTTCGGGTATCGGAAGATCGTGCTCTTGTCTTCTTCAAGCTCCCTCGCAAGTTAAGGAGTCGTGCTGGACGGTTTATCGTTCAATGTGGCAAGGAGACGATTCTCATCGGTTTCTGACGGGCGCCCAGAGCGGGGCTTATCCTTTAGATCGTTGTCCCCGGCTCGGAATCGTCTGAACAGTTTCTTAATCGTTGTCGTACCTGGGACGTCTTCACCGGGGGCAAATTTTAGGTTGCCTAGGGCTCGCTTCGGGTTGCGACCGAGCTTGTTTCGTAGAGCACGGCCTGTCTCACGCGGGTGTCCCTGCCGCACATCGTTGCTCGAGACTTCGTTTCGCGGTCATATGACTAGTTTTGCGTTTCAGCTTAAGGCACAAGTACCAGCGCGCACGTCTCAGCGCGCGAATTCGAAACCATACGAATGCCTTTTTTCCATCCCTACCCTCGTTCCAAGGTACGATCCATCGCTCGCACGCTGACTTCCCTGCAGCGGGCGTAATGGCAGGGAGGTGTCTGTGTGGAACCAGTCAGGAAAAATGTGAATTCGGGTGTAACAAACCGCGGTGGTTTTGCGTGGGTTGACAACACTGAAGACATCGAAAGAGACTCATTTGAGGAAAAGGATGAGCACATCGTCGTCGGAGTCAAACTCCCTCGGGAGTGGCTTGGATGGATAGCGTTACCGGGAGGAGAAACTCGGCGAACATTCAGCTTGACAAATTTCTCGAAAATGTTCAAATCGGGAGCTCGCAAACAAGGCGACGAACCGCATGTCAGACCCATTCTCATATGCGCGGGACGAATGGGCGGATGAAGATTTTTCCTGAGGAGTCACTCAACAAACTCGATTCGCGCAATCTCAAGGCATTCTCAAATCCTCGGATTCGCCAGAAACGGTGGCTCGAATCCCAATTCTGCCGAGCTCATCCGGAAGGAGGACTTCTTCCGCCCAAAACGTATATCTTGAACTGTTTCCATGATTCCATGGACTGATTGTGAGATATCGTCAATGCAATATGGAGGTCGCGAAATTCCGCAAGTACCCAATATACATATATGTAGACACATACGGCGTTGAGTTAGGAATCCAGTTTGGCGCAAATTGGTGGATTCACGCGTGGAGTTGCGAACTGCGGGGCAGCTCAGGGCGGGGGGCTGACCGACGGGGCACCGTTGAACGTTCCTCGTAAGTGGGACGTGCGCGGGTATGCGGGAACGACAATATCAACGCGGGAACGGTGTTCGATCTCGAAGCTGAAGGAAGCATCAGTACAAGCGTGTCGTCGCTTCCAACTTTCATAAGATCGAGCCGTGGTCGGGATGAATTGTGCTTCGAAGGGCTCATGTATGTATTTGACAAGGTTAGCTCGAATCGTAGGGAGGGTTCCTGGCGTTGCATGTTCAAGAAACTTGTAAGATCCGTTTGCCCCGAATCATCGCTACCAATGAGGTCAGTTTTGTCCGTCGATCTCATAGCGATTCTTTGGACGCGGCTGCCATGGAGGTTGCGAACAGAGGGAAAGCATGAAACGATCGGCTGCGAACCCAAGAAACTCCAGCTTATGTCATAAACCACATCCGAAGGTGAGCCTCGCTCGCCAACCAGATTAAATTTGCGCAAGTGCACCGACTCTTCCCGCTGACCGCAGTCTCATCGTCATCCCTGATGATTGTGCGGTATACGACCCCGAACCCGGATTATCGGAGCGTTTTCTGATTGGAGATTCGGGCTTCGAAGGGCGGAATCCCCAGTCGGGGGCGGAATTCTGGTCTTTTGTCGTGAGTCTGCCTCGAGCTGGATCGGGCTCGTCAACAAGATCTATCTTGTTTCCCCGAATATACACCCTGGCTTATACCGATTTGCAGGCTAAACGGAAAAAAAGCTCAAGAACTTTATTTCGGGCTTGAGTTCATTTCAACTTATGAGACGAATCGATAGTTCGATAATGAGCAGAGCTGTGCGCCGCGCCGAGCATCGCAAGTCTATGACGCCGCGCGCCGCGTTGTGGGTACGGCGCACAGCACTGATAATAATGAACGACGACGATCGTCAAGCGTCTGCGCGAGCTCACAAGCAGTTGATTCCCTAGAATAGTGCACTATGCACTCCGGAAACAGGAGCCTGCTGCGACAGACAAAATCGAAAGAAATTCGGTGATTTTGGAAATTATTGCACGTTCACGGAGCACGATTGTAGAACCAATTTGAAATTACGGCCCCGGAACTTTTTCACGAAACCAAACCAAGTTACCTGGAGTTAGCAGTCATGAGGTCAAGAACGGTGGTATCCATTCAAAGGTGATGAGGGTTTCTCGGCGAATGTTCAACGCTGTCGAGCCATTCAATCGCTTCTCTTTAATCGAGCTCCAAAGATGATTCTTGAACAATCTCAGAAACTTAGAACGCTGAAGGTGCGTT